GTGTGTGTGTATGTATGGAAGGGGGGGTTCATCGCGAGTGATCATGTTGTGCTTGTGATCGGTGAGGCGAGGACGATTGATCATGTTCGCGCGCGCAAAGTAGTCGGCTGAAGTGGAGAGGGGGAGGGGGCGGGGCCGGGGAGGGGGGGGGGGAGGGGTAGTGACCACACTCGACTGCAGACACCTGCATAGGCTGCCAAGGCAAAGAGACGGGGGACGACAGAGGATGGTGGAGGAACTCAACATTGATGACCTCAACAGGGTGCGCATCCTTGGCAACGACGAGTTTGCCGACTCGGCCAAGCTGCGGCAGACGGCCAACGAGTTTGTGGAGAGTACGTGGAAGCGGAAGGGCGGGGAAAGGCGGAGTGCGGGGAGGGAGGGAGGGAGAGGGAGGAGGAGGAGGACTCATGGTGGCGGTGGTGTAGAGATGACGGCGTTCCATGAGCAGGTGAGAGTGTTCGAAGAGCAGGTGGAGGGCCGGGCGGCGGTGGTGGAGGAAGGCAAGCTGGCAGTGATCGGGCAGAGGAACCTGATCCAGGGGGAGGAGGAGGCCATCAAGGCAAAGAAGGCACAGCTCGCAGCCCGCATCGCTGAGAAGCAGGCTGCGCTGGATCGGCATGTGGCGCATGGCGCGTCGTTGATGGCGGTCATTCGCGAGCAGGAGGCGCTGCTGGAGAAGCTCTCCAACAACGAGGCGTAGTGGTGACGGAGCCGTGGTGTGATAGGTACGAGCCATGCGTGATACAAACCATATTCATTACATAGCTGTGTCGTGCAGGAGGGGGCGGGGGGCGGGTCAAAGATCGTTGTGGACAAACTCGAGGTTGGCGTCGCGCTTGGCGTCGCGATCGGCGCCGCGCTTGACGTGGCGGTTCTGGTGGCGGCCGAGTTGGGCGAGCGGGTCATGCGCTTCTCGACGGCGGAGAGCGAAGAGTTGTCGATAGAGATAGAGGGGAAGATGTCGGTGAGGAGCGGGTTGTGGGAAAAGTGAGCGGCGAGGCCCGAGAGGAGGGCGGCCTTGACGGCGTCGTAGGCGGCGAGGGCGGCCCACGAGGTGAAGGTGAAGCGAGCCTTGCCGATGGTGATGGCGAGGTCAGGCGAGGTGCCGTCCTCGACCGAGGCCAGGACGTCGCGGAAAATGGAGCGCTGCGACTTGCGAGTCTCACGGGCGACGTACTTGGACGACTCTGAGGCGAGGTCGCCGAGCTTGTCCAGCAGCTCGTCGCGGGCGCGGTTGTCGACCTCATCGTCGATGTCAAAGCCGGCGGCGGCGGGCGCAGAGCCGAGCTCAAACATCGAGGCGATGAGCTTGCCAGCGGCGACGCGGACGGCAAAGTCGGGCGAGTCGAGGCTGTCGGTGGCGAGGGTGAGCAGGGTGTGGAAGTGGTCCTGGAAAAACGCGACAACCGGGACGACCGGCAGCAGCAGTGAGATGGCCTGCATGGCGGCGGCCGAGGCGCGCGGGCCGGCGCGCGAGCCAGAGTCGGCCACCTTGGCGAGCTCGACAATGTAGGCGGAGGCGAGGCCCGGCTCCTCGACGCAGACAAAGATACCCATGGCGCGGGCGGCGAGGCCGAGGGCGGCGAGCTCGTCCGAGCGCGACGACTCGTAGTCGCGAAGGACGGGCAGCGCATCGTCGTAGAGCGACTGCGAAATGCCGACCGAGACAAAGATGGCAGCAAGGATGCGGGCGCCCATCATCTTCTCGGCGAGCGTGCCCTTGCGGACCATGCCCTTGATCATGCCGACGACGGTCTCGACCGAACCCTCCAGCAGCTCGTCCGAGAAGCGGCCGGCGACGATGGAGAGGACAGTCTCGAGGCCCGCGGCGCGGGTCGCCTTGGCCCGCTCGCCAAGGTTGTCCACCGCTGTCTCCCACTTCTCCCTGAGGCTCTCCTCGTTGAGCTCGTCGACAACCACAAGCGCCGGCGGGGCCGTCTCGATGGATCCAGCCTCTGATCCGGCCTCTGACGCTGTCGCCTCGTCACCAGATCTCTTCCCTCCTCTCGCTTGCTTGCCACGCTGGCGTGACTCTGCCCATCAGCCCATTCCAACCAGTGTGCGTGAGTCTCTCGTCTCTCGTCCTCCTCCGCCTGCCACAGCCAATGTTCCCATTGGACGGAAGCCAATAGAAGCCAGGCGAGCCACCTGCCGAGCCCATGGCCATGGCACAAGCCCTTGGGACATACCCACAGAACATGGTACACGTAGGAGAAGGAATGGGAGGGGAAGGGGAGGGGGTGGATGGGATCCAATGGCTAGCCCCCCCCCCCCCCCCCCCCCCTCCCTCCCGTCCGTCGTCGTCGGGGGGGGAGAGCCCCCCTTCCCGGGCCCTTTGAACCGGCCCCAGCGGGATCGGGGCATAACATGGCCAAGGCCATATCCCTCAATTGGTCCGGCCCAAAAAAAAACGACCTTCCTCCCAAAAATGCGGTGGGTGAGTTTGTTGGGGCTGGAGATAAGGAGGTTCGTTTTGTTTGAAAATTTGACGCCTGCCCGGGTGATGATTATTTGGGTTTTTTTGTTTTTTTTTGACTTA